TCGATTCACCCCTGACGAGCAGAGGTGTGAAGAGCACTTCAAGGCTACACACTCTCGTGACTCATCAGGAAGGTACGTCGTCAGGATTCCACTCAAATCACCAGCTGATCTTCTGGGTGACTCGTACCACGTCGCCCATCAGTGCCTCAAGGGATTACGCAGACGATTCTCAAGGGATGTGAACTATCAACGTCTCTATCAACAATTCATGATGGATTACGAGACGCTCAACCACATGACGAAGGCATCATCCATCTCCAGTCGCCGCTCACACTTCTACCTACCACATCACGGTGTTCTCAAGCCTGACAGTACAACAACGAAGCTGCGAGTCGTATTTAATGGCTCCAGCGCATCAACATCGGGCTACTCTGCTAACGACCTCATGTATACTGGAGCGAAATTGCATCTGAATATCTCAGATGTTCTCCTCTGGATACGAAGACACCGTCACATTTTCGCTACGGACATCACCAAGATGTACAGGCAGATCAAAATTCACAAGGATGACTGGGAGTTGCAACGGATACTCTGGATGGACGATCAACTCAATGAAGTGCCATACCATCTGACAACCGTCACCTACGGGACAAAGGCCGCGCCGTTCTTGGCCGTCAGGACGCTGTTACAACTAGCAGAGGACGAAGGAAATAAATATCCACTGGCTGTGCCATCCATCACTCATGGCAGGTATGTCGATGACATATTTGGTGGTGCAGATACTATACAACAATTGCAGGAGGTCGCACATCAATTAAAAGGCCTCTGCATGGCGGGCGGCTTCCCACTAGCAAAATGGCATGCTACTCATCTCGACATACTCAAGACTGTCACCGACAGCGAAGACCAAGGCTTCTCAATCACATTCGACGATTGCGCAACCAAGATACTCGGACTAAAATGGCTCCCTCAAGAAGACACATTTGCATTCTCAACGCGAAGCTCACGCAAGGACGGCAGACTCACAAAACGCCTCGTATTATCTGAAGTGGCTCAGATATTCGATCCACTTGGCTTTGCATCACCTGTT